ACAATACAGGACTGCTTGCGTGAGTTTGGATACATTGAGTATTCCTATTTACACTTACACGAACAGATAGTAATGATATTAATTATAAGAAATTTTTTACTATTTATTTAGAGCACATTAAGAAAAATTTTATTCCAGAAAGTTCAATCAAGTGCGAATGCCGAACAAAAATTCAATTTCAATTTTAGTCGCATAGATCGCTCAATAATAGAAACTCCTATTGAAATTGACGATTTGCAAAGAAAAAATTTCATTTGTACGGAGTCTCTCTGTTGATGTCAACCAGACACTCTATAGTTTAGATGATAGAGAAACACCTTGAATAGTTCAACATATTGCTCAAACGACTTGTGTGACTCTCGAAATGTGTACTGAAATCGATTCAGAGAGAGCACACTATTGTTTTTAACCTATAAAAATAACATATTGACTCTTTTATTATTTATTTGACAGTTGATTATATCAACAATCGAACTAAATATATGAGAAGGAGTACAATCCATTTTGCTTTTCTTCTTGTAACATATGCTTGTTCTTCGTTTCCTTTATTTTTACTATATCTAGGAATGACACCGTTCAAAATTTCAACACATGTAGTTTATTCGAGAAACCTGGTAAGGGAAAAGGAGCGATAGATTTCATTTCGAAGTGTGTATTGACTCCAATAAATTGCCTTCTTAGATAAAACAAGCGATGGCCGACAGATTGAAGTAGACGAACAATTTGATCAAATGAATGTACGTGAACTACTTATACGCGGTGTTTATGATTATGATGTTGAACGACCGGCTGCTGTTCAACAAAGTGCAATCAAAACATGTATTTCCGGTATGTTGAGCAAGCTCTTCTGTTTCTGTTATTATTGATCAATATCATAGATCATGATGCTCATATCCCAGTACGGTCGGGTACAAAGAAAATGAAAGCGGTTGCTATTCCGATATTACAACAACTCGACGTTAAAGTTGCGGATTATCAAGTTTTAATTTTAACACCCACTCAAGAGTCGGTTCAGGAAGTAAATTTATATGAGTCAAGAGTCTTTCGAATTGTGAATAATTGTTTTTCTTTGTGTTCGTATCTGTACAGATTCAAAAAATAGTTTTAGCCCTCGGTCATTATGTAGATGTCACATGTTATGCTTGTATCGATGGCATTAATACTCGTAACGATGTGAAACGTCTTGAAGCAGGTGCCCAAATTGTTGTCGGTACACCAGAATGTGTTTACGATATGCTGGAAAGATCAGTTCTTCGTAGGTGCTCGACGGTATTGCCCCTATTGAGATATCTTTATTTCTATCTTAGAAAGCAAAAATATCAAATTACTCATACTAAACGAAGCTGATGAAATGTTATCACATGATTTCAAAAAACAAATCTGTAATATGTTTAAAATCATCCCACAAAACATACAGGTTATTCATCTGTCAGCTACTATGCCAAGCGACGTACTCGAAGTGGCGACTAAATTCACGAAGAATTCGATTAAGATTGTTGTTAAAAATAAGTTAACCCTCGAAGAGATTCGTCAATTTTATGTTTTTGTCGAACGTGAGGTAAAACAAATGGACAAAATCTTACGAAACAGGGATTAGATATTTATTTGAATGCCTTCTAGGAACAGAAAATAGATACACTTTGTGAATTTTACAAAACTTTTCGAATCGAACGAGCTGTGATTTTTTGCAACACACTTCGAAAAGTTAAATGGTTAACAAAAGAGTTGAGCTCACGAGATTTTACTGTATCCACTGTGGTAAGTGTAATGTTGACATTTTGTTGTCATTTTCGTTAAAGGACTTGTGATCAATGTTACCAACCATTCAAATTTTCTTGGCTTCATACATGTAATCATCTGGACTAGACAGAATGTTACATAAATCAATCGTAAACGCATTGTTCTTTTCTGTTTAGTGGTCTTCACATTAAAAAAAATTAGAACAAATAAGTAGTGATACAAACTCTATTGTCTCTTTTTTCTTCATTCTAGCATGGTAATATGGGTAAGACGGAAATTCGCCAATAAGAATTTCGACAACGGAATTTCGACAATATTGCCGAATTTCGAAAACTGCCTAGGTCTTCCCCAAAGTACGACAATAAAAAATCTCATTCGGAATATTATTGTCCATGGCTAAAACAATAAAATACCTCATGAAATTTTTTATTGTAGTACTTTGGAAACAGTCTAGACAGTTTTCGAAATTCGGCAGTATTGCCCAAATTCCGTTGTCGAAATTCTTATTGGCGAATTTCCAGTAAACCGGT